CAGGAGAATTTAAGAAAATCTAGAAAATCTAAAGAATTTAAGAAAATCTAAAGAATTTAAGAAAATCTAGAAAATCTAAAGAATTTAAGAAAATCTAAAGAATTTAAGAAAATCTAGAAAATCTAAAGAATTTAAGAAAATCTAAAGAATTTAAGAAAATCTAAAGTATTTAAAGAATTTAAGAAAATCTAGAAAATCTAAAGAATTTAAGAAAATCTAGAAAATCTAAAGAATTTAAGAAAATCTAGAAAATCTAAAGAATTTAAGAAGTACAGTAGTTCGAATGGTGATAGAAATGATGATATTTTAAAGACGTTGGAAATCGATAGAATTCAAGGAATTTAAGAATGACCAAAGAATTCTGGGAATTTAAGGATTCAAGGAATAGTAGATAGTGATGAGAATTCGGAACGCATAATAGAATTCTAGTATGTTGCATAGTCATAGAAATCGTAGTGTTTGTAAAGATGTTATCGATCGACAGAATTCCGTGAATTCAAGCCATTCAAGCAATTGTGGAAAATGTATGTAATTCAAGAATGATATTAAAATTGTAGTGTCTGCCATCGAGATAGGAATTCTCATGTTTAGAATTATGCGTGGAATTCGTACACTTAGTAATCATGGCGAAGTGAAAATTGAAGGCATCAGAAATATATTTTTAATTTGTAGAAGTTACTGAGGTATAAATGTCTAAAATAGTTTTAAGTAATTTATTCGAATTCTTGAGGTAGAATTCTTTTGTTCTATCTGTAATATAGTTGAAAGTTCAAGTTTTACAATTTCTATTATCTATGATATAGATATTAAAGTGATACAGAGTAGCGGAGTATATGAAGCAATTGCTGTTTTTTGAAAAAAATAAAATAAAACATAATATTCAAAGAAGATAAACAGAATTTTGAAGAAACATGCTTTTCAAGACAGATTTTACTGATACTATGGGCATAAGCGGATATTTTTACGAATAATGACTTGTTTTTTAAGTTTTCAAAGTTATAGTTTCTCGAAGTGAATTGGAGAGATTTTTTCATCGAATATGAAAATACATATGATCTTTCTAACGATATTATCTTAAACATGCTATTCGATGTTTGGTAAAGTGCTTTTGCTCTAATCACTATTGTTGGGACCTATCATGTGTTCTTTTTCACTAGCATTCAACACTTTTCAAACTTAATAGTTCTCGTCTGACTTGAAAAAAACATTATATTTAACATCAGAACCAAAAACTGAGTTTATTTGTGTTTTCAATCAATACACTTCTCTTTTGCATACGACGCAACTTATTCTACATACAGTCCTATGCAATCTTACGTCAAAGAGAAGTTCAGAGTGATAGACTTCGATTCAGAAAAACTATAGCAATATGAATGAATCACATTATTTTTACTGAATTTCTCATTCATACAACTTTATTGATACACTTTCAAAATCAGACCTAAATATTATATACAATATGTTCAAGTATATCATTTGAAACTTTGACGTAATCAGAACGTTTTTAATTGAATATTAGTCCATTGAAGATGCGTGTTGAACGTCGGCTATTGTAATTGTCGTCCTGTTCGTCTTCGCTTTCGAGTTGGTTTTCAAATTCATTAATACACGTTATATTTTGAAATTTATCCCATAAAGATAATTCAGCTGTTGATAAATAATTAGATGCATCGTTAGGAAGTGATTTAAGACCAGTGAACGTTGTTGATTCATCGTAATCGTTGGCTGCTGGTAAAGAAGAAAGATAGAGTACTTCTAATTCTATGTCTCTCATTTCAATACCTCTTTGTGACACAAAAACTGAAGCAGAAATACTTGATTCTTCGTCATCTTGTTTGTATGACTGCTCTAATTGTTCTTCGCTTGTATCCTAATAAAGAAAAAAATTCTAGATATTATTTTATGTTCAATAAGTAGTGAAGTAAACACGACTTACAGGTTCAATATATTCATAATTGTCGTTTTCTTTCTGTTTGAATTGTGATTCGTCTTCACTTCTGTTTTGACTCCTAATTCTCTAAATGAAAGATATTCTAATATTTATTGTCTTTGCTAAAAGTTTCTTATCTACATGCCATTAAGAGGTATTGTAATTACTTCAGTATCAAAACAAATAAAAAGATCAGGAAGATTCGATCGGTAGCCGATCTGCCTCTTCTAATAAACAAGGTTGAAGAGATTAACGAGCACGACTGTATCAATGGTCATTTCAGTATTTTATCGAATATTTTAATCAATTCTCTGCAAAACTATCTATATCTATTAATAAGTAAATGCTCTCTGTTTTTTTGATTTACAATACAAAAAATTACTTGCATATGTACAAATTTCCGACTTAGACTTTTTCTTCAAAAAGTTTTTTTTTTTTATCACACTTATTAATCGCTCCAATCCAATTTATGTATTGATTGTTTAAAGAACAATGACCTTTATTAGCATAAGTAAAGAACTGCCACTTATTCTAATCTTAGATAGCACAAACTCACACATCATCATTTAATGTAATTATGTCTTATGTTGGTAAGAACCACTGGTCTTTAAACAAGAAACCTATATAGAACTCTTTTATTAATAGATATGCGCAGTTTTATAAAGAATTAAAAGTTAAATCTTCTAATAAAAATAATACTTTCGAATTAGAGACAGTTGCTTAAGACATTAGAAAAATACTGAAAAAAACTATTTATCTTGTCACATCTGGTGATTGAACAAAATCATAACTGTTGACTACGAAAGTGCATAATTTCAATAGTTTTTCAATGTTCAAACTATTCAGGTATGTACTAAAACTTTTTAAAGTTGTATTAAGATTCAGAAAAATAAATGCCAATGTATATGTATACTTAAATATAATAGTCAATGGTTGGTAGAACTTTTTCGTTAAACATATTTTGTTGATTGAGCTACGTCATATTCTTTTGCTCTTTGCAATTATTCTCATTAATTACCTTTGTGTATCTTCCAGATAAATATAATTAAAATTCATAAGAACAATAATTATTAGCAAATAAAAATTGAACTATCATTTAGTTTTCAAGTCAGGCTTTGAAGTCTTTTTTTTCGTAAGATAGTCTAAACTTTAACTTTGACAATAATATGCTAGCGAGAACTCGTGCATACTGCATAGCAGCCGTTTTTTTAGCATACGACTTCAAAATCCAAACTTTTCATTCAGTAACAGACACAGAAATAGTCGGTACTATGTACATAGAAGCCCTACGGTATTATTTTCTTATATTGCTAATATCTCATGTAACCTTACGATCTTATAATCTTACCATTTGTAGCATAGCGCTTTTATATCATTCCTCTCAAATAGCCTTACTCCTTTATAGTGTTTTCTCCTTATTGCCTTATTTCGTTATAGCCTCAACTATATATACAGATTTTGAATATAAAATATGTTTTCATTTATATAAAAGAATATAGCATATAAGTCTTGGAATTATTTTTGATTGGAGTAAAAACAATAGTTCGATAAATTGGTCGTTATCTGTATCATTGAAAAAGCATTTAGATAAGTTTTCATGAGAAATGTTTTCTCTCGGGGACTAAGTTCTATTACATTATTAATACTATGTATCAGAATACTTTATTATTGATTTGGAAGAAATCATCATTCAATTGATTGTCTGTATTTGATTGCTCACGTCGAGAAAATTCATTTTCAACAATTGAGACTATTGGCACATCTGCAGGTATCTATGACAATAAACATAATGTTGATATATTCAAATGAACCAGTTCAATAATTACAGATTCAGGTGTACGATGAATTAATATAGATGATTTGATGATATGTTGTTGTTCGATGGAAGCACTCTAAAATAGAACAACTCTTTTATTGTTAATTGTCAACAGAGGTTTACATTAAGTGCATTTCGTCCGGACACTTTCTTTGAAAGTTCGTTGAGAACACATGCTTGTGATTGTTTTCGCTTATTCATGAGTTATAGAAATAGATCTAGAAAGAAAATTATTTTAAGTTCCTCTCTACCTGCAAGTATACATATACATATTTATTTATAGAAAACATTACATCAGAAAAATGTAACGAAAACAACAAAAATATTCATTTTTTTTCGATCGAATAAAAAGCATTTACAAGAGTTTCTACAAGTTTTAAGTTTTGTTAAATTATATACAAGATATGTACAATTTTACTGAAACAATAAAAATCAAATTCGTTCACTATCAAAAGAAAAATGTGAAGACATAGAAAAGTTATATTTTAATGATATTTTACTTACATTGGTACTAGAATCGATTTCAATCAATAAAATATACATACTGAAATATAAGCTATTTGACTTAACACACAACATTTTTAACCTGAAATTGAAAAGTGAAATATCAGTAATGAAAAGTGTTGTTACTCACTGGAAGAAAAGGACGTGCAACATCTTTATGATATGCATTTAAACCAATGTGACAACAATTCCAATAATGAAATAATAAATGCAAAGTAAGTTGAAAACGTTTAGAACTCATACGTGAAAATGATTTGCTAAACTTATTCAACCATGCAAATGTCTGTTCAGCTGCTGCTGTATTTATACCGGCAAGATTTTCATTACGATCAGGATTCAAAAATGTTGTGCACCATGGGTCTCGATGATTACGATAATGAAAACGATCTATTGAAAACAGACAATTTTCATAAAGAAAAGTTGTAGTAGGATGACGTCGAATGTTTTTGCCATAGTGAGTAACAATTGATTTCAGCAGATGACAACCGTCATCGTAAATAATATTTCGAGGAACATGACATATAGCGGCATTATTTTTGTCTATTCCCGTTTGACTGAATCTAATTAATTGGCATAGTCCGTTGATGATTTCTTTAATACTTTCGTTTAGTATTAGTTCAGTGGAAGAAATGATGATATTACAATTGAGAACCCAGATAACGATACCCAATGTACAAAATTTTGTTGGTATAGAAGCACCTGGCTTGTCTTTTGTTGTTTTACATGATAATGCATCGTAATAAATTTTTTTTCCATTTTTCAATTGTTTAGGTCGTTCATAAAATGATTCATTCGAGTCAAATGGTTCAGCTAATTGATTTTCTATTTCTTCTTTCGCTTCTTTATGTTCTTTACAATAAATATGTTGGTAGTGTGGAGAATTCCGACAACCAACACGCATTGATTCGAACTCAGGTGTTTCGATAAACTTCTAATTTATTAAAAAAAGATTTTAAAACAAAAAAAAAATTTTTGTTCTATAATAGTTTCTTTTTCATAGTCAGATAGATGTAGTTGACACAAAACGCATAACAAAATATGTTTTTAGTCTTATAGAAGTACCTTATGAAATATTAATGGCAGTTTGTTGTTCACAGCAAATAGACGTCAAATTATTATTAACACCTTGAAGTGTAAACGATAATAATGGGCTACGTCCTAATTGCGGTCAAAAATGAAGCCAATTAACACATCAGTAATCGCAATTTGGAATAGAGAAGTTAACGTTGATTTAATTTTTTATTCGTTTCCAAATTGCGATCACTATTATTAATTAGTTATTGAAAAGGTAGAGCATAAGTTCTTTTCTATTGATATATAATCATGGGAACAAAAAAAATACTGCATATTAAACTATGAATACAAACTTTACTTGATCCACAACCGAAAAAGGTGAAAAAGCCATTCTATGTAATAATTATATGTATCGATTGAAACGTGAAAATCAGAACGGTTCTTTAA